GAAAACATAGAGCATATGAACCCCGAAAGTTACTTGCTAGGTCTGACACGGAGAATAAATTCTCACGAAGACGTCGCTTTCACTCCCACTTAAAAGGGACAAACTCAATTATAGAGCTTTATGTTATGCAAGTGTTGTGTGTGAGGAGAAATGTTAAAACCTCTAATAAACAAATAAAATAATTAATTCTTGAATAAAATAAATAAAATAAAAAATAATAATATATAAAAATAATAAGTAATAAAAAATTTGAAAGAAAAGAATTAAAAATTAAATATATGAATTTTAAATTTCCAACTGATAGAGACAATTTACAATTGATTTTAAAGTTTGACAGTCCCCAGCGGAGTCGCCAAGCTGTCGTATCCGGTTTTCGTCCGGGTACGAATTTTTTTACTTGGCGGAAAAAGTGATGTGAATAAATGGTTTTTTTTTTAAAAAAAAATTTTAGGAGTCGCCATCGGCCTTTTGGGTCAGGTAGGTCGATTACCTAAAAATTATCTTTTAAAAGAGTTTTTAATAAAACATCAGTTAAAAGATGAACTGATATGCGTTTTAACCAAAAAATTCGTTCTTTTTAATAATAAAAAGGGATTCGTGGTCGGTTACGTTTAGGGAAGGATTAGCACCCCTACAACGCCCAAAATTGGTACTTTTTAATTATAAATTGTCTCTATTATTAGAAAATAAAAAAATTCAAATATATTTAATTCATAATCCTTTTATTTCAAATTTATAATTTTAAGAAAATATATTAATATATATAAATAAGATATTTATTTATTTAGAAATATCAGAAAAGAGCTTCTAGGTGCTTTAAGACAGCTCTTTTCTTCGATATAAATAAATAACTAAAACAAAAAATTTATTTTAATATAGTAAGATATTTATTTATTTAAAAATATTAGAAAAGAGCTTCTAGTTACTTTAAGACAGCTCTTTTCTTCAATATTAAAAAATAAATAAATATCTAAATCATTTTCTTAATAAAATAAAATTAAACATATATAGTTCATAAATAGGATTTTTATTTCATAGAAAACAAAGAAAATAAATAAATAAATATTATTTATTATATATATTTATATGACTAAGATAATAATAAAATAATAATTAAAGTAATCATTTAAACATATTGGATTTGAAATGATAATAATACAAATTAAATTGTAATTAAACAGGGACTAAAACATATTAAAATAAATAAAAATATTAAAAATTAAAATTTACAGCCCTTATTTATAGTATTATAAAAATATAATTACATATGATGTAATTAACCCTAATTATTAATAGGTGATTAAAATAATGATCATTAAAATTAGAGGTTCTAACTCGAATGATAAAAAGATCTAAGTGCTAATAATATAATTTAGCCTTATTTAATTAATTCGGATTAAAATGATATTTACTAAACTGTAAAGGACTAAATTAGGTATTTACCCTAAATAAATATATATGCAGATAAGGACTAAAATAAAATAAAATAAAATGTAAAGACTAAATTTTAAATAATTAGAAGTTGATTGTAGTGACTAATTTGTAAATAATACAAACTCGAAGTGACCGCGGACGAGGTTTTCCCGTGAAGGAAATTACGCACATACCCTCATCAAAACGGTGTCGTTTTGATGAGGGTATATAAACCCTATAACCGGCCCCTAAGGGCTGAAGTTTCTCATTTGCCTCTTTCCTTTCTCTCTCTAAAATGAGAGAACCAGAGTTCTCTCTGGCTTCTCTCTAGTTTCCCTCGCCGGAGGGAAACCGGCAGCCATAGGCCACCGTACTCCGGTGCCGATCACTGCCGCCGGCCACCGTGAATGGTGGCCGAAATTTACAAAATACCCCCAAAGCGTAGATCTAAACGTCCTAAGGCCCGATCTAAGGTTATTTTAACCTAAAACCCCATAATATATCGTAAATCTACGATTTTCACCTTCGGTGTTTTGATTTTCCGGCGACGTTTAGGGCTCTCCGATGATAGAGTAAGTTCCTCTCTTCTCTTCTCTTTTATTTTTTTACTGGTTTGTTGTTGTTGATTGGGATCGTTGGTAGCTTTCTGTCTTCCTCGGTTTCTTTCTCTCTATTTGGTTTCTGGTCTCCGTTGCTTGTTGTCCGTGCTCTCTCCTTTTTTTGCTCTCTGTCTCTTCTTTTTTTCTTTGTTTTCTGTCCCCTTTTTTTTTTCGTCTTGCAGGTGATGGCTTTATAGCCTCGATGAGGCTCTCATCGGACCGGGTATAAAGTCGAGTTCAGTGAGTCACCGAACTATGTGGTGACTCACCCCTAGAGCAGTAACGTGGGTGGTGACGAGGCACTTCTGGAGGCTTCGATGGGGTAGCGTGGCACTGACGGCGGCATGGCAGCAGCTGAAGCGTCAACGTGGAGGTGGCGGCTGAGCAGAGGCGATGGCTGGCCTTCTGGAATCTTGGAGGCGGTTGGGGGGCTAGGGTTTAGAAACCCTAGCTGAAACCCCAAATATTTAGGGTTTCTGGTTGGTCTGGGCCGGTTCTGTTTTGTTTGTAACTGTGCCGGTCCAGTTTTGTTTGTAACTGTTTGTAAATAATAATTATAATATAATAATAATATTTAATAATAATAATAATAATTTTAATAATAATAATAAAAACAAAAATCTCAATTATGTACGCAAAATTGTTGACGGCTATCCTTATCGCTCGAAATGCGGTAAGCCTTGCCAAAAAAAAAAAGTTTTCAAGTGTACCAATGTGACTATATTGTTTACTTCAGTTGTGGGTATGTTATGAGCTTTTTTTTTTGTTCTTTTAGTTTCTCAGGATTTTGTTCTGATTAATCTGGATCGACTCATGTCACACACCTAACTTTGGTGGATAAATCTTCTAACAAGAATTTTTACATATATAACCTTGAACTTAAAACCTACTTAAGCGATTATTATTATTATTATTATCTTGAATATCAACTTTACTTTTGTCTTCATGATTGTAGCTCGAGGTATGCATATGGACGGTGAGCAAAGTGGTTACAAAGGAATTCAGACACATTCTACTTGTCTTCACCACATATACATTTAAAATGTTTAGGAGGCAACTTCGAGATTTGATTATTCGAATTGGTTTCAAGTGTTTGTAATTTTATGTTGATGTTGTGTCTTTGTGCTGCTTGATTTGGATTGGATTGTGTAAAGTTCGATTTCGATTTAATTTTGTACTATTTATTTGTGAAATATTTAGGTTTGAATTAAATAAAACAATATTATTTGTATCAAATATAATATACTTATCTCAAGCTTGGTTAAATTGCTTGTATCGATTAAAGATTGTTGATGGCATGAATATGATTGTGACAGTTATTGGTGGTTTATTATTTTTTATTTTAGTTTCAATTATATCATTATATCGTTGGCGCATTAATAATTGGATAATATTCTAGTTTGATGTTGATGTAAAAGTCAAAAAATATTTTTTTATTCCATCTCATCATCTTCTTCATCAAGATTACTTCGTTAGGGTTATTTCATCTATTTTAGTTGTTGTAAATCGTCACTTTCTAGTGTCTTTTGTGGTCATCCTACATGTTGATAAACCCGTCTCATCGTCCTTTAATATTTTGTCGGTTTGGATTTTTTTAAATCTCTTTAAAATTAACTAAATTAAATAGAAAATCTATTATTTTTTAAGGTTTGATGGTTTTATGGGATTAAAGGTTTTGGGAGTGTTTGCCCAAAAATTTAAACAATGAGAAGCATTATTTCGAGAAGACGAATAACATAACTCATCAAACGATCATCAAAGGAGATTAGAGTATTAACACATAAACCTTTAGATAAATTTCCATTGATTTTGAGTGTGTTTCACGAAAATCAATCCAAGGAGAAGAAAGAGTAGTGAAATTAATTGTCAATAGCAGTCGAAAAGTTAAATGCCTAAAATTAAAACGTTTTAAAGTGTAACGGCAAAATCGATATAAAAATTAAAGGATTTATATAGTCCTATTTTAAAGTTTAAGGGCAAAATCGATAAAAAAATTAAAGGATTTATATAATCCTATAAATGATATCATTTTGATCATCAATATATCACACTAAAACGACGTCGTATTGACCATATTATCACATTGATTGATAAAAATTGTCATCCACATCAAGGCGTTAGTACAACTTAATTGTCTAATGGCATAATTGTACGTAAAACTAACATTTAATGCTACAATCGTACCATTTTAAAATTCAATATAAAATCAAAGTTAAATAGTACTTGATATAGTTTAACCTGTTTAAAAATATAAAAAGAAAAAACAAGTTTCTCCTTCTTTCAACTCTTTTTCTTGGCATCTTCTGTATCCATTTAACTAATGGATTTTAATCATATTCAAATACGAAATTTTACTTAAGAACACTATTTATCATTAGGTCTTCTTTATATATTAATGACGTATGAAAATACAATAGATAATTTTGAATGAACAAATTACAATAATTAATTGTGATTAGATAATATATAACTCGAAAGATTGAAGTAATCGTCAATCAATAAATAAACAAGACTAGTAATGGCAACAAATACGCTTTTATTTTTTGCTCGCGGTAATACAAATTTATTTATTAAAAGAGAAAATAGGATGGAAGTTCGGGAATAAGGAAGTAAAAGGGCGAGCAGCCCACATATCAAATGCACCTATCGAATTAAATTAGTTCAACGTTATCAATATAATGTTAGTGACCCAAACCCTATGTTAAGACAAAGTCCTAATCTTTAGGGCAAAACAGCACTTGTCTTTGTCTTCATGGTCTTTGCTCTCCAACACAAACATCGCACCATTTGTCCGTTGGATCCGAACCCTCATCCCATTAGTTCTTGTTCACCGACGTTGTCCAAATCTTGCATGATCCATGCACTTATAAAACTAAATTTCTTCAATTAATTTCCAAACCCCTTTTACAGTAAACCCTAAAAAAAAGCAGTAAAAAATACGAATAAAGTTCATTAAATGCAAAGAAAATGAGCCAACAATAACCGCAGAGGAACCATGAACAGATCCATTACGAAGATGCCCTCGCCGTTCAAGGTGAGCTTTCCAGGAAGGCAGCGCCGCCGCCTAAGGATGCTGCCGTGATGCAGATGTTTGAGAACTCCGATACGGCGAAGAACGAGATTTCAGGATTGCCGGGTCATGAAGAAGCCATTGCTGAATCTGGTGTTACTATTTAAGCGATTCATCATCCTGGAAAAAGAATAATCGATTATATTGGTGATGAGGTAAAGAATATATATACTCAGGACAGAATAAAAGATTTTATGTTAGAGTACGAATTTTTAAAATTTTAGAAAAGAGAATAAATTATCAATAAAAAAATATAAACAAAATATATGATATTGTAAAATTTACATGGATCGGCTAACAACCTTTCGATCTACCGTATATATACGATTTTGATTATGTTAACGAGTTGCTCGATGTTATCGAGTCAAGTGATATTGAATTCAATCCAATATTTAATATCTTGTTTTTGGATGTTGTAATGATAGGTTGCTGCAGGACGAAATAGCCATGGATATTCATATTCATCTGAACACGACTCGGCTTCTGACCACGGCGGTGGAATCACCATCGGAGAAGCACTAGAAGCAACCGCACTTACCGCGGGAAAAAAGCTGGTGGAATGGAGTGATGCTGCAGCGATACAGGCAGCGGAAGTGAGAGCCACCGGTCGAACCTCCATAATGCCCGGTGGTATTGCGGCGGCTGCTCAATCAGCCGCCACACTTAATGCTAGGGCAACCAGAGATGAAGACAAGACCAAATTGGCTGATATTCTAGCGGTAATTAAGTATTGCTAATAACTCCGATTCGAGTAATTCATCAATAATAAATTTCCGTTCGATAATAATTCGGTTCGATTATTAATCGTACTTATCAATCCCTTGCAGAATGCTACGGCGAAGTTGCCATCGGATAAGCCGGCAACAAGAAAAGATGCGGAAGGGGTAATGGGTGCCGAAATGAGGAACGATCCTAATCTAACCACACACCCGGCCGGCGTCTCCGCCTCTATTGCCGCCGCTGCAAGGCTCAACCAGAGTCATAAATTAAAGTAGAGTAACACCAATGATACCATGCATCTCATATATATTTCTGATACTACTATACATGTAATTAAAAGAACTTCACTCGACTTTGCAATGAGTTTAGTTGAAAATGTTCATTAATCTTGTAATCATTTTTGCTTGAAATTATGAATAAATTGACCTGTGAAAATTGGAAGAGAATAATCGTCGAACCATAGGGATTAAGTAACATCTTTAATTTTTCGATGTTGAATTTGGTTATCAATGACATCAAATCGATAAAATCTCAAAATACTAAAAATAAAACGTAATATTAAATATGATTTTGATTAAATAATAATCGAATGATCAAAATAAAAATATGAAAATAAATAGAATACCAAATAGTTAGTTTACCCTAAAATTTAAAGTAAAAAAACAAAATTTGAATTTGAATTTTCATGTGCCAATGCCAAAGGCCATCAATATAGGTGAAATTGGATTTCATCCGTCGATTCAATTAGTTAGAATAAGAAAATGGTTTAATCAGTCCAATATTTTATGCTAAACCTTAAATTCTAATTGAACAGACTAAAAAACAGTTTTTTTATTGCCCTTTTAGTTCCCAAGGCTTTTTCTTGATTAATACGGACCGACCCGAATCGTACATCTGGTTTTGGTGGATGAGCCTCCCAACGAAGATTTGTTTAAACATTAGTATCTAATTCATTGATATGTTAATTTGAATCAAATATTGTAGAGATATATTATAGAACGATCCTTTCAACTCAATTTATTTCATTTATAACGTCAAGATTTGAATTTCTAACTTTGTTTAATAGACTTAAGTCAGATCTCATCGCACTGTACCAATCTATTTTTCTTTTACTAAATTTAAGATATTTTAATTTTATATTAAATACAATACAATTAAATCAAATTCATTTTTGATTACTTGTTAGTGGTATTTAATATGCATGTGAAATCGAATTTAAACTTGACATGGTTGTTATGATATTTAAGAGTTAATTGTATATACATTTTTAAATGAGAAAATAACCTCAGTGACCAAAAATGCCTTGTAATATACGAATTTAACCAACTTTTTTTGGATTTGCCAAAATGACCAATAAATTCGCAACGCGAATTCTAATTTCGCAACCCAGTTTTCAATTTCGCAACGCGAATATGTAAATCGCATTGCGATTTTCCAAATTTGCGTTGCGATTTTCTAAATTCGCAACACGAAAGTCAAATTCACAATTGAATTTCAAATTCGCAACGCGAATTTAATTTTGCAACAGGTTTTAGTTTCACAACACAAATGTTTTGGGTATATAACAACGCAGCAGCAACAACTCATAACCTAAATCCCTAAATTACAGCTCATTCCATCTCCATCTATCACTCTCTCCGGCGACATCCGTTCCTATATCCAACGACATCCTTCCCCATCTCTATTTTTTTACATAATTTTATTTCTATATAATTTTTCAATGATTTCTCTCCCAAATTATCAACTATCAACTTAATAAAGGTATGTTTTTCTCTAAGTTAGTGATGGTATCTAGTTTATATCTCGTTTGTTTAGTAAATTAATTTATAATTTTTAGAATGATATCATCTAATGTTGATCATGTTTGGATATATTTGTGTTTTGGAGGGTCATAGAAGAATGTTCATGGTGTTTTACAATATGTGCATTTACCCATGAATCTTTAACTAAAACTGTCATTAAAAAAGTTAACTTATGAAACTCTAATGTTACGTGTTGCAAAGAAATTGAATTTAGTGCCTGTTGAGTTAATCGATCTACGGAATCGGCCAAGAGAGGGGTGAATTGGCAATTAAAAATTTCGTGGAAGCTTTTGCAGAAAATTTAAAGTAATTGCACAACGATTTACAGTGGTTCGACTTTCTCAAACAAAGTCTACGTCCACTACCTTAGCTATCCACACTAAGGATTTTCCAACAAATTCACTAATTTGTTCTTTCTTTTGAGGCCAAAGAGATAACCTTACAAAATCCCTCAAGAGTATACCCCAACTCTTGAGAACACTCTTTTTCCCAAAAAGAAGATTACAAATTTGCAAACTTACAAGAAAACCTCACAAGGTAAGATGTTTGCACAATTCTAGAACAAAGAAAAGAACACTCAAGGATAAATACAATTGAGTACAAAAGTGTTCTTGAAAGCAAATGAATATTGGATGAAAAATAGGCTTGAAATACTCAAACTTGAGGTTTGATGCTTTCTCTTTGATTCTCTCTTGATTCTAGTTGATTGATGTTTCTTGTTGTTGATCAATGGCTTCTAAGCTTGCTTAAATACACCTTGGATCACTTCTGAACGTTGGGGATGATTAGAGAAGATATTATAGCCGTTTTAGTGTGAAAACATTTAATAAAACAGCTTGGAGCGTGCGGGGAATCGGTTCCCCCTTGAAGGGAATCGGTTCCTAAGTGTAAAATTCAAATATTTCGACCGTTGTACAAGGGGGAATTGGTACCCCCTTGGGGGGGATCGGTTCCCTCCGAGCATACTGGAATTCTCGGAGCAAAACTATTTAGGGGGAATCGGTTCCTCCTATGGGGGGAATCGGTTCCCTCCGAGCATTCTGGAAATCTCGGGGCCAAAACCATTTAGGGGGAATCAGTTCCTCCTATGGGGGGGGAATCGGTTCCCTCTGAGCAATCTGTAATTTTTGGCTTTGAATTGGTTCGAAATACTTTGTAAGATTATTTTGAAATTGTTTTATGATTAAAACTTAATTTTCCACTTAAGTAAGGATTAAAAATGATTTTTGAAATATTTGGAGTAATGTTTTGATATTCGAATAGTTATATCGAATATACTTAGAAAATCATTTGGAAAATCTTAAAATCCATTTAACTTAATTTGTTATATCGAAATGTCAAAATGTTTCAACAATCTCCCCCTTTTTGATATAACAAAACATTTTAGTAATTTTAAGATTTTTGAAATCAAGTTTTGAAATTACTCCCCCTTACTTTAACACTTCTTCAATTTATTATGTAAAACATTTAACACCTATTCTTCTCCCCCTTTTTGTTAAATCAAAAAGACATTGTAAAACAAGGTTTTGAAATCATTTAGCCAATTGATTTATTAATTATAAGCTTAAGCTGCTAAGATCACAATCAAAAGAGAGGTTAGCCATTAGTTTCATAAATCAATATTCATAAATAATGTGATATGGCAAAATTGGTCATATTGCTAATGATGATGCAAAAATGAATAAAACATATAAGTTCACACTATTCATAAATCCAAAATCCAACAATCCACAAAATCAAACAATCCAAAATATCAAAAATGTTGAAACAATATTCTTTTAGTTCAAAGTCTTAAAACTAAACACATAATCAAACATCCGGATCGGTAGGAGGAAAACGGGCTCGCATAGCGGCCATCTCGTGTGTGAGTTCATTGATACGAGCGTTGGTTGATTCATTGTTTGCACGCATCTCCCGAAGAATCTCTAATTGTTGAGCTCCCATTGTGGATAAATGAGACTCTATAGAGGTAAAACGCGAGTCCATGGTCGCATATCGAAAATCAAATGTCTCCATAAAGGATTGAAAATATGGAGGCATTTGAGTCGACTGTTGTGCATGCTCCTCGGGTTGTTCAGGCTCATCTTCAGCTTCATCGATATCCCTCATTAATTGTTCAAACTCGGGATCTTCGTCAACTTCGGGTGGAGCTTGTGAAGAACTAGCTCCCGGAGTAGAAGATCGAACCCATGCACCGGTTTCCTTATTTTTGACCCATCCCGCTCTTGTTAAAGAAAGAAGATTGATTTGTTTCTTAAGAGGAAATGAGGCATCTAGACCAACTCGGAGTTCGGCTTTAGAAAAGAGATTACTAAGGATACAACCGTAAACTAGAGAAGAACAGAGTTTCTTATTTGGCACTAAGTTAACGGTTTCAACGATCTCAGCAAAGATAATCTCGGAAAGGTTTATTTTTATATTGTTTTCAAAACAATGCAACCACCAAAGGTCTAAAGCTCTAAGAGTAGAATAACGGCCCCAGGATGGTCAAAACCACCAAGTGATCATAAGATGAAGAAAACACTCATGGAGATCTAAAACACTTGCACTATCATTCTGTTTATATCGTGATCCTAAAACTTGTTTTTCGTTTGATAAACCTTCATTGTCCAAGCCTAAGGCATTGGCTATGTAATCCGGATCAAGATGGAAATATTGACCTAGGAGGTAGGAACACACTCCTATGGTTTTGGTTTTGTCACGATTTTTGATACAAACGACATTACAGTAGAAGATACGAACAAGTTGATGATAGACAATGGGTTCAAGTTCAAAAAGTTTATCAAATTTCCATTCGTGCAAGATAGGGAGATATTTAAAGTTAATATCAACCATAGTTTGAAGAGATGGGATACGTTCTTCCCTAATCTTATACGAGTCAAAATATTGGTAAAACCAATAACGATAATCTTTAGGACCCGGTTGATTGAAACAAGAATTTTGGATAGTCAAGTTAGGATCAAGATTTGGAATAGGATTTTGAGGAATAGGAGGAGGATTTGGTTGACGACTAGAACGACTAGATGAAGACCTAGGACGTTTAGGATTTGACATGGTGAAGGAAATCGGAATAGATAGAATAACCTGCAATTTTAAAACAAATGTATGCAATTCAATTAATCCCAAAACTCAATTGAGTCCTCAATATTTCAAGGTTCTCTAAATCAATCCTAATGGGCAAAGTTTTTGAGAAACTTTTGAAAAATATGGTTTTGAGAAACAATATATGATAGTTTTCATAATAACAACATAATTTAATCAAAACACAATAATTTGAAAAACATTTTTTTATTAATTTCGAAAATTTAAAAGTTTTTGAAAATTCTTGTGTTTTTGATGAAATTAGTTGTAACATCTAGTTTCTATTCACTAAACAATCAATGCCCGATCACTATTTCAACCTAGAACTAATTAAAACTAATCCTATGTTCAAAAACAATGAAATAGAGAGTTTAGAAAAATTACCTTAAAAGATGAAGATTGAGGGGATTTAGATGTTGTTTGCACGATTTTAATGATTCCAACAGGTTTAGAAGATGATATTTGATTCGAATTCCGATTAATATCGTTGATTTGAGGCAAGAAAGGAGATTTGAGAGGAGTTGAGAGGGAACGGC